TCTGCTCTTCCCAAGGAGCAGGACGAGGCGGGGCTTGCGATGAGTCCTGTGTTCAGGCGCCCGCCGTGTCCCAAAGGCGGCCCCTGGGAGCCTTTCCGGCAGCAACTCAACCCCAGACAGCGCCCAAGGGCTCTGGTTCCCCACACACCGAGATGCTCCGAACTCACCTTGGGCATCTCTTGCCCCAGGCCTGGCATCACCCATGTCCCCAAGGAGCCCTGTTCCCCTGACTAGGGGGGTCATAGTTAAGAAACTAAGATCCTGGGTCATTTTTTAATGTAGGTATGTATGTATATATGTATGTATCTATTTTTGAGACGGAGTCTTGCTCTGTTGCTGGAGTGCACTGGCGCAATCTCAGTTCACTGCAACCTCCACCTCCCAGGTTCAAGCCATTCTCGTGCCTCAGCCTCCCGAGTAGCTGGGATTACAGGCATGGCCACCACGCCCAGCTAAATTTTGTATTTCTAGTACAGACGGGGTTTCATCATGTTGGCCAGGCTGGTCTCGAACTCCCGACCTCAGGAGTTCCCGACCTGATCCACCCACCTCAGCCTCCCAAAGTGCTGGGATTACAGACAGGCGTGAGCCACTGTGCCCGGCCTCCGCACCCAGCCCCTGGGTCGCTTTAAAGGGCTTTATTGGGCCGGGTGCGATGGCTCACACCAGTAATACCCAAGACCAAACACCAGCCTGGGCAACATGGCAAGACCCTGTCTCTACAAAAAATACAAAAATTAGCCAGGTGTGGGGGTGCACGCCTGTAGTCCCAGCTACCTGGGAGGCTGAGGTGTGAGGATGGTTTGAGTCCCGGAGGTCGAGGCTGCAGTGAGCCGAGATCGCGCCACTGCACTCCCACCTGGATGAGTGAGAGACCTTGTCCAAAAAAGGGGGGTTGCCGGGGAGCTTCTTTGCAATGAATTTGTAGTTGCTGACTCAGCATCAGACCTTTGAAAGCTGACAAGCGTCCCCCTTCTTGGCTTGGCAGGGCAGGGCACCCCGGGCTGGCCCACCTTGATCAGCTGCCCACCCGTGGGCAAGATGGGCTGCCCCTGAGGGTGGGCCCCACTGTCCCACACAGAGCTGCAGACAAAGCTGGGGCGAGAACTGGGCTCCAGGCAGGACCCCAGGTCGGGCTGCGCTGGGCAGTGCTGGGAGCTCCTGAGGCTCCAGGGTGGGAGTGGCTGGGCCTGCGGGCAGCTCCCAGCAGGCGTCACCCTGCACAGGCAGAACCAAGGGGCATCCCCCACCCCAGGCAGGGCCTGCCCTGTGCTCCCCAGTGTGGGTGGGGTACGGCTCACAGGACCCAGCTGAGCACAGCCAGGGCCTTGGGCTGCTTCCCTGGTGCAGGTCCCTTAGGCAGTGAGAAACCCATGCCACGTGAGGTGGTGTCGTCTCTGATGCCAGCACAACTCGCAGGGACCCCAGGAAGGACAAGAGCCCCTCCTGCCAAGAAAGTGCTTTAATGGTTTATAAAGTGTCCAAAATATACTGGCAAAAATAAGCAGATCTGAGCGTTTCTCTTCAAACCTAGGATATGCAGGGCGAGGACATGGCAGGGGCTGGTCAGCCCCAGGGGTGCCTCGAAGCCGGTCGTCCAGGGAGAGCAGCGGCAGGAAGCGCCTCAGGAGATGACCCTCAGGGATGGCTTCTCCTCCTCCAGGGCCTGCAGGCGGTCCTCCATCGCCTCGGACCAGTAAATGTCGTACAGGCTGCACAGAAGCCAGAAGGCAGGCATGGGCCTGTGTCCTCCCCAACCCCCGCCTTCCTCCCTGGGCAGCCCTGGCCACACCACCCGCCCAACGCGTCCACATACACCAGCTGCTCCAGGAGGCAGCCCGGCTGCCGGACACTCTCCACCAGCTGCAGGACGCCGGCGTCCCCCAGGCAGTTGTTGCTGAGGTCCAGCTCGCGCAGGCTATGGTTGGCCAACAGGGTCGCGGCAAGGCTGCTGCAGCTGCTGTCACTCATATCACAGTCGCCAAGCCTGGGTGGAGCAGGGTGGGGGTCAGGGTGCGGGGCGTGCCTGGCACCACATGACCGGCCGAGCAGCCTGGGCCTGGGGGGCGCAATGGAGGCCCACGCCGCGAAGCCCAAGGACCGACGGACACCTGTGCTCGGCAACTCGGGACCCTCAGGTGGGGCCGTCCCCAAGGCTCAGCCTTGGCAGCTTGTCTCACTGTCCCTCTATGGCCCTGGGCAGGTTCCCCACCACAGACAAAGGCCACACAGACAAGTGGGGCACGGCAGCCTGACACCTGAGACCTTCCGCAGGGAGGAGAAAGGACAGGAGGGAGATGCCGTCCACCCAGAGAGCCACACCCACCCCCTTGCCTCTCCTCGGGGTGGGCTTCAGAGGAGAAGCCAGCCAGAGGCCGAGGGGCAGCTGTGGGGAAACGAGGGTATGCAGACCACCAAGAAAGGCACAGAGTGGACAACAGACTTGAGGTTCCAGAGAGAAACGAGGGTACAGGCCAGACAAGAGGGTGGAGGAGACAAGACCCGACACCCACTTCCCGGGGTGGAGCCGCCACAGGCCGGACAGCAAGGCCAAGGAGTTGCGCTGGGCCTCTCCAAAGTGGGGGCCAGGGAAGCTGCAGGACCCCCACCCTGTGCGGTGGCTCAGGGGGAACCAGTCTGCAGTGACCAGGACCCAAGGTTCCTCTCCACACCTGGAACACCCACAAGGTCCTGGCAGCCAGGATGGTGTCCCCTGGCAGGGAACTGGAAATCCCCCAGCAGGAGGAAGCCCTCGGGAAACATAGCCATGACTCAGCCTGCAGGGCCCGCTGTCCAGGGCTCCGAGGCCTCACTCAGAACCTGGTGCCCAGCCCAGGATGACCAGCCACCCATGGAAAGCCCCTGGCAAGAGACACACGGGAAATAGCAAACAAAAGACAAAACACTGAGGATGGAAATTCAGTAGACTGGCTGGTAAATGAGAACATCTCCCAAAAATAAAACATCGAAGAGAAAGAAAATTTGGAGAGCACAATTAGAGGGCCATCAGGACAGGCTCATGGGCACACCAAAGAGAAAGGGAAGAAATGAGAGAAAAAAATCAGCAAAGGCATATTTTCTTAGAACCAAGTATCCAGCACAGTCAAAGAACAAGACCCACATCCAGGCCAAGCACGTGGAACCCCGAACACAATGGACAAAGAAATCTGGAAAAACTGCTGAGAAAAAGCAGATCATGCGCACAAGATCACAGTGGCTCATGCCTGTAATCCCAGCGCTTTGGGAGGCTGCGGCAGGCTCATCATTTGAGGTCAGGAGTTCAAGACCAGCCTGCCCAACAATGGTGAAACCCCATCTCTACTAAAAATAAAAAAATTAGGCAGGGCATGGTGGCTCACTCCTGTAATCCCAGCTCTTTGGGAGGCCAAAGCAGGTGGATCACGGGTCAGGAGATCGAGACCATCCTGGCTAACATGGTGAAACCCCGTCTCTACTAAAAATGCAAAAAATTAGCCGGGCGAGGTGGCGGGCGCCTCTAGTCCCAGCTACTCGGGAGGCTGAGACGAGAATGG